TGTTAGTGTGTTTCATACAGGTAATTTATGGTCTTTGTTAATTACTTTAGGCCATTTGGGGGCTTTTTGCTATGACTTTACATGTTTGAGTAAATTAAGCCACACTGTTTCTAATTATTGTCAGAATGAGATATTAGTCACACCTGATTTTATTGTTTAGTTATAATTCTGCAGTTTGTCATAATATTTCTCTTATTAATTTATCCTTATGTTACCATAACATTGTTGAATTTTATAGTCCTTTACTTCATCAAGGTAAATTAATAGTTGAAATGAAGTCTTTATTTTCAACAAAAGTTTATAGTTTTTCTTTTCTCTGAGGAAGTTGAGGTACACTACAAATTACTGATACAGTATACTTTTCCAAATATCCTAAAAAAAAAAAGTAAAATAAAATACCAAGAAGGAGCTTAACAGGAAATGTGCAGGATACAAATGAGGAAATGGGAAGACATAGATGATCTTGGATTAGGATACTCAGCATTCTAAAATCAGTCCCAATAAAAATATCAGTAGGCCCCCCCTTTTTTTTTTACTTTAAACTAGATCAGTTAATTCTAAAATTCACATATAAGAGGAGAAATCAAGCAGGAAGATCCAGGAAAATTCTGAAGAAGCAAGATAATAAAGGGAGAGTATGTAGTATCATACATACATATGTAGTATGTATTATCACCTATTAAAATAGATATAATGTGATCATAATCAAAATGGTGTTGTAGTGGTACATGCACAGACAGATGAATTAAAAAGGAGAGGAGGGGCTTCCCTGGTGGCGCAGTGGTTGAGAATCTGCCTGCCAATGCAGGGGACACGGGTTCGAGCCCTGGTCTGGGAAGATCCCACATGCCGCGGAGCAACTGGGCCCGTGAGCCACAACTACTGAGCCTGCGCGTCTGGAGCCTGTGCTCTGCAACAAGAGAGGCCGCGACAGTGAGAGTCCCGCGCACCGCGATGAAGAGTGGCCCCCACTTGCCACAACTAGAGAAAGCCCTCGCACAGAAACGAAGACCCAACACAGCCAAAAAAAAAAAAAAAGAGAGAAAGTCCAGATAGAATCAGAGATGTCTACAGGAATTTCATACATGATAACAGTGGTTGCATCTCAAGCACATAGGGGAGAGAGGGGTTAAATTACTTATTTAATGGATACTGAGACCTCTCTGAAGCAATCTAAGAAAACACAAGTTGGTTTCATATCTTTATACCAGGAAACATTTGAAAAGGATCAGAGATTCACATTTTTAAAATGAAACAGTAAAACCACTAGGGGAACCTGTAGGAGAGTTTTGCTTGATCTTGAATTGGAGAAGATCTTTCTAACAGGCCCCAAAGCTAGGAACCATAAAAGAAAATATCGATAAATTTGACTTCATAAAAATAAAAACATTTTGCATTGCCCCCCTACAGAAAATCCATAAACAAAGTCAAAAGACAATAACAGAAATATTTATAATTCTTATCAGAGACAAAAGACTAATTTCCAAATATATGAAAAACTATGTATGAATCAATTAAAAAAAAGTCAAATAACCTATAATAGAAGTGTCTGTTTATATGACAGTACATAAGAAAGGAAAAAGAAATGGCTCTTCTGAACAGATGAAAACAGTTCAATCTTACTCATAGTGAGAAATATAAAATCAAATATAAAATCAGAATACTGTTTTTAACTATCAGATCAATGGAGTTCATAAAGTTTTAATATGTTGGGTTTGGCAATGGTGTGGTGAAAAAGTCACTGTTGGTGGTGAGAGATTAAATTTATATAACCTCTGTGGAGGACAATTTGGTAATATCTGTCAGATTTACAAATTTCCATACCCTGTAACCTAGTACTTTTCCGAATTTAGATCACAGAAATACTTGTACATGGGTAAAATGACATGTACAGTAGTATTTGTAGAAGCAAAAGATTGGCAAAAACCTAAGTGTCCATAAATAGAGGAATGATTAATTAGTATGGTACCCCAAAATAGTAGAAAACTCTGAAATCATTTAACTTAAAATCAGAGGAAGTTGGACTTCCCTGGAGGTCCAGGGGTTAAGACCCTGCGCTTCCATTGCAGCAGTCACAGGTTCAATCCCTATTCGGGGAACCAGCATCCCGCATGCTGTTTGGTGTCGCCAAAAAAACCCACCAAAAAACAGAGGAGGTTTCTAATGTACTGATATAGAAGTGATTGCTAAGATACTTTAAGAAAGCAAAATACACAACAGAGCATATTGTAGCTATGTGGGGAAAATAAGAAGGGAACATAAGCAGTTTTTGCTTGTGTATTCCTAAAGTATCCATGAAGGACATGTAGAAAACTTACAGTCATGATCCTCTGGAAGACAGGAAACCAAGGGACAGAGGTATTAGAGTTTTCAGTGCCTTTTGAACCTTTTAAATTAGAAGGCTATGAATGTATTAACTATGCAAAAATACTATTTAAATAAAATTTGATTGCTGAAAGTGTATATTATATCCAGAGTGTATGAAGAACTCTGAAAATTCAGTATTAGGAATCAAACGGGGGCTTCCCTGGTGGCGCAGTGGTTGAGAGTCCGCCTGCCGATGCAGGGGACACGGGTTCATGCCCTGGTCCGGGAAGATCCCACATGCCGCAGAGCGGCTGGGCCCGTGAGCCATGGCCGCTAATCCTGCGCGTCTGGAGCCTGTGCTCCGCAACGGGAGAGGCCACAACAGTGAGAGGCCCGCATACCGCAAAAAAGAAAAAAAAAAGAATCAAACGGGAATTCCATGGTGGTCCAGTGATTAGGGCTCCATGCTTCCACTGCAAGGGGCACGGGTTTGATCCCTGGTTGGGGAACTAGAATCCTCATGCTGCGCGGCACAGCTGAAAATTAAAACCACAGTGTTGAAAATTTACTAGACCAAGCCTACCACGTGTTGGTGAGGCTATGGGGAAACTTGAACTCTTATACACCGCTAATGGGAATATAAAATTGTATAACCACTTTGAAAAAACTGTTTGGCAGTTCCTTTCTTTCTTTTTAAAGACTTAATTTTTTAAGAGTCATTTTAGGTTTACAACAAAATTGAGAGGAAGATACAGAGATTTCCGGTTTACCGCCCCCCCCACCACATACATAGCCTCCTCCACTATCAGTGTCCTCTATCAGAGTGGTACATTTGTGACAGCTGATGAGCCTGCACCAACACGTCATAACCACCCAAAGTCCATAGTTTCCATTAGAGTTCACTCTTGGTATTATACCTTCCATGGGTTTTGACAAATGTTTAGTGACATATAGCTATCATTATTATATTTTACAGAGTATTTTCACTGCCCTAAAAATCATCTGTGTTCTACCAATTCACCCCTCTCCCCATCCCCACAACTGCTGGCAACCACTGATATTTTTATTGTCTTCATAGCTTTGCATTTTCCAGAATGTCATGTATTGGGATCACACAGAATGTAACCTTTTCAGATTGGCTTCTTTCACTTGGTAATATGCATTCAGGTTCCTCCATGTCTTTTCATGATTTGATAGCTCATTCTTATTGGTGCTGAATAATACTCCATTCTCTGGATGTACCAGTTTGTTTATTCACTTACCTACTGAAGAACATCTTAGTTGATTCCAAGTTTTAGCAATTATGAATAAAGATTCTGTAAACATCTATGCAGATTTTTGTGGGGATATGTTTTCAACTCATTTGAGTAAAAACCAAGGAACATGATTGTTTGATTTTATGGTAAGAGTATATTTAGTTTTGTAAGAAACTACCAAACTGTCTTCCATTTTGCATTCCACTAGAAATGAATGAATTCCTGTTGTTCCACATCCTCACGAGCATTTGAAGTTGTCCGTGTTCCAGATTTTAGCAACTTAATAAGTGTGTAGTGATATCTCATTTAATTTACATTTCCCTGGTGGCATATAGTGTGGAGCATCTTTTCATATGCTTATTTGCTAATTGTATATCTTCTTTGGTGATATTTGGATTCTTTGATTTCTTAAAGAGTTAAACACACATTGACCGTATGACCCAGCCCTTCCACTACTTTAATCAAGAGAAATGAAAGCATATGTTTGTACAGAAGCCCACACACAGATGATCATATCAACTTTGTCGTAATAGCCAAAACCTGGAAATAACCCGTAAGTCCACTAACAGGTGAATGGATAAACAAATGGTGATATATCCATAGAATAGGATGTGTCACAATAAAAAGAAATGAACCACTGATACATACACCAATATGGACAAATCTTAGAATAATTATGCTGAATGAAAGAAGCCTGAAGGAAGAGTATATACTAGATGATTCCATTTATATAAAACTTTAGAAGATATAAACTTAATACAGAAAGCAACTTAGTGATTGCTTGAGAAGTAGGAGTATAGAAATGAGAAGACGCAAAGGAAGGATAGTAAAGTGGCACAAGGAAACTTTAGGGGGCTGATTAATGTCTTTGCATGTTCATTATCTTGACTGTAGTGATATGGATGTATATTTCGTGGCCTGAAAGCTTTGTTTAAATACCTTTGGTTCATCCTAGAATTTGAAAATAGAAATATGACAGAAGATAAGAGTATATTCAGTATTCATACTTCAAGACAGGAAATATGATTAAAAGTTTACACAGTGGCAAGTCTCATCTTTAATTCCTGTACAGATAGGCTCACTGGGTCACAGGAAAAATATCATGTTCTTTTGAATAGAGTATTGAAACTGAACGTTCTTAAGAGGAGACCTGGGATCCAGGTGCAGGTTTGTCAAAGGGTGGTGAACAAATCCTCCTGCTTTGTAGGAAGGAATAATCTAGACTTGCTTATGTATCTTTCAGTCTTGCAAGGTCCTGTTCTTAAAAAGATATAAAGGTAATTTACTTTGAAGAGAAAATTATTATTGATAACCCATTTTTAAATATAGTACTTAAAAGAATGAGAAGAATAAAGGGAGTAGTGAGATGAATGGTCTGACTTGAAGTTTTTATATAGGACAGTTATCAGTTTATATGATTTTTATAATTTATTCTAGATGTTCTTCTGCATTTTTTGAGGAAGAGAGATCAGCATTAAAACAGAAACGGCAGAAAATAAGGCTCTTACAGCAAAGGAAAGTGGCGGATGTTTCACAATTCAAGGATCTCCCAGACGAAATTCCTTTGCCCCTGGTTATTGGAACCAAAGTTACAGGTAGGTGAAGATCAGCTTATTATTATTTTGACTTGCAGTTTTTCACCAAGATAACGTTTATTAGACAAATGGCTTTTATATTTAGAAAGCTTAAACTATAATTCTATAGCAATATTCTGTAGAGGTTACTGTTTCTTAATCTGTGAAGTCTGATTTTTAAAGAAATTGGATAAAAGTGTACCTTTTCAAAGCACTGTCTGCCACAACATAAACTAAAGCAAACTGCCACAAAGGTGAAATTTAAAATAAGTATGATGTTTAAATTTTAAACATTTTGAATTCTGTTTTTGCTTCCACTCATTGATTTTCTTTTCTAACCATTTTTACCTGGTTAGTTCACAAACACCATTGTTCTTGTGATCTTTGAGTTTAGAAGTACTCCATTTCTAATGACTGAATAAAACTAAATTATTCAGTAGGTAGTTTGCTCAAAATTCTGTAAAGATGTAAATTCTGTCAATTTGTAGGTGGTGATTCTATGTGTTCACTTCAGTTACAGCACTGAGGGAAATTACCACCAAAACCTCAAGTTTAAGTTAATCCTTAATAATTTGGTGATCTAAAATTGCAATTTATATAATACAAGAAATAGCAAGGTGTGAAGTGGGTAGGTAGTGTAGTAATAGTACTGGAAGAGTTTGAAAAATGGTCGGATTAATCAGAGGATATTTTCTGGAGGAAAGGGAACATTGAATTACATATTTATATTATTATTTTCTGGATATAAAAGTGGTACATGTTTCCATTATATTGTAAAAATGGGTAATGAAAGGAATGGTAGATAATAAGGAAGAGTGTATCATGCATATAAAATGCAGTTGGAAAAGAGAAGAATGCATTTAGTCATAACCTACCATGTATAGTAGTTACAGGTGATATATATGGTCTCTCTCTTTACAAAATTAGTCTGGGAATGGGGGTGGAGATAGAGTGAGGGAGAGATAGCATTCCTGAAAAAATATATTAGTTCTAAAAACCCCATTTAAATAAGTACAAAGTCTACAATATAACTACTAATCAGAGAAATGCTGGCGTGAATAGAGTGACACGTAGACCCAATTAGGAAATCCTTAAAAGTTAAGTGCTCCAGCATTTAAGGATTGGCAGTATTATTTGATAAGACTGAAAATTTTACAGTGTCAGTAAGTAGGTACTCATGTCACAATGCAGAATAGGTGGGACTGGATATGTCAAGATATGAGAAAAGTTTGTAGGAATCAACTACTAGAGCTTTTGAAGGTTTCTGTTTGGTTTAGAGGAGGTGTCAGCATACAATAAAAAATTATTAAACCTATGAAGAAACATAAAAACAGGTTCTGTAGTAAAGACCAAAAGCAATCAATAGAAAACAGATGGTGGGATGACTCAGATACTGGAATTAGTTTCAAAATATCTGTTATAAAACATGTTCAAGGGGCTTCCCTGGTGGCACAGTGGTTGAGAGTCTGCCTGCTAATGCAGGGGACACGGGTTCGAGCCCTGGTCTGGGAGGATCCCGTATACCGCTGAGCAACTAGGCCGTGAGCCACAGCTACTGAGCCTGCGCATCTGGAGCCTGCGCTCCGCAACAGGAGAGGCCGCGATAGTGAGAGGCCTGCACACCGCGATGAAGGGGGGCCCCCGCTTGCCACAACTAGAGAAAGCCCTCGCACAGAAACGAAGGCCCAACACAGCAAAAATAAATAAAGTAATAAACTCCTACCCCCAACATAAAAAAAAATATCACCTCTGAGGTCCCACTTCGTTGTTTAAAAAAAAGAAAACAAAACATGTTCAAGAACTTAAATGTAAATATGGTCATAATTAATGGGGGTATCACAGTAGATAGATGGAAATTACTTAGATAAAACACATTTAAAATTGAAAAGTATAGTGTCTGAAAAGAAAAATTCTGAATGGGCTTAAAAGCATATTGGAAACAGCAAAACCAAGGGTAAGTGAACTTCAGAATAAATCAGTATAAATGATCCATTGTGAAAACATGGAGGAAAAAATGGAAAAAACATTAATAGAGCCTCAGAGACCTGTGGGACAATATTATGCAAATAACATACATGTAATTAGTGTTTTTAAAAGGAGAAGAAAGGCACAATGGCATGTGGGGAAAAAAAAGACAAAAGATTTGACTTTTTCTTTCAGTTTTTTCGAGATATAGTTGACATACACACTGTAAAGTGTAGGTCATAATGATTTGACTTGCATCCATTACATTTGCCGACCTTGGAGAAGGGGCCTTTTGTGGGAGACCTCCTGTGCTTCCCAGCAGCGCACTCCCCTCTGGTCACCAGAGCTATGTGCTCTAGGGGTGCCCCCTGTGTGGGCTGCCTGGGTCCTTCTGTTGTGGTGGCCTGACTACTGTGGGCAGTCTGATAGGTGTGGCTGGCCCTCCGTCAGGTTGGTTGCTAGGCCCTGCCTCGTGGAAGGCTTCCGTCTGTGGGCTGGGGCACAAGGTGGCTGGATGCAGGAGTGAGTGGGGGCTTCCTGGGACTAGTACTGGCCCACTGGTGGGTGGAGCTGGGCTCGGGGTGTGTGGTTGCAGGCTGGGGTCCCAGATCTAGTGCCGGTGGGTGCGCTAGTTCCTGGCATGGCTGGCTGTAGGGGCCTGGGATATCCCAAAGCTGGTTATCAGCCCGCTGGTTAGTGAAGCTGGGTCCCGAGGCTGCTGCTGGCTGAGGGGCCCAGTATGTCTGGTGACCTGCTGTCAGCCTGCTGGTTGGCAGGCCAGAGCCCCCGCTATTCCCTGGGCTAGTGTCCCATCACTGGTGGACAGGAGCGGTTCCTGGGGCGGCTAGCTGAGGGGCCCAAGGTGTCCCAGAGCTGGCATTAGCCTGCTGGTGGGTGGGACTAGGGCTCAGTGGGTCTTGGAGCTAGTGCTGGCCTGCTGGTGTGTGGGCTGCATCCAGACACAGCAAGCTGTAGGTCTGTGGTGGTCCTGGGGCTGCTGTCCACCCAGTGGTGGGTGGGACAGGGCGCAGGGGATCAGATCCCTGCGCTGGTGCCGGCCCCCTTGTAGGCAGAGCTGGGTCCTGGGTTCTCTAGCCGCAGGGCTTGGTGTCCGCCCACTGGTGGGCAGGGCTGAGGCCCAGGGGGTCCCCAGGCTGGTGCCCACCCACTGGTGGGTGAGCCCGGGTCCTGGGGCTAGTGCCGGCATGGAGCCAGTCCCAAAGTCTCTGGCTGCAGGGCTCTGGAACTCCCTGAGTTACTGCGTTGGTCTCTGTTGTGCGGGGCCAGGACCCAGTGGCTGGTGCCTGCCCAGTGGCGGGTGAGGCTGATCCTGGGGCTAATGCTGGCTCACTTGTGAGCAAAGCCAGGTCCCAGGGTCTCTGGTGCAGGGCCCTGGGGACCTGGGACTAGTGAGGCTCGTTGGTGTCAGTGGCCGGTCCTGGGCCCTCTGGTGGATAAGTCCAGGTCCTGAAGCGGCTGTGGGCTCAGGGGCTCCCAGCCAGGCCAGCTGGTGGGTGGGGCTGTGTCCCCGCCCAGCCAGTTGCTGGGCCTGAGGTGTCCCATTACTGGTGCAGACAGGCTGCTGGGCGGGGCCGAGTCCCAGCCCTAATGAGCTAGAGGGAGGATTAAAAAATGGCGCTTGCCAGCCCCAGTGCCCTGGTGGTTGAACAAGCTCCCAGAAATGGCTGCCACAAGTGTCTCTTTGCCACCGGTGAGCTCCACTTGGCTCCTGCCTCTCAGGGAGGCTCTCCAAGATCAGCAGGTGGGTCTAACCGAGGCTCCTTTTGAATTACTGCTTCTGCGTCCTAGAACTTGTAAGATTTTGTGTGCACCCTTTAAGAATGGAGTCTATTTCCCATAGCCCTCCGGCTCTCCCGAATGTAAGCCCTGCTGGCCTTCAAAGGCAGGTGTTCTGGTGTTTGTCGTCCTAGTGCAGGACTTCCAGTTTGGAGAGCCCCACGTGGGGTTCAGATCCCTTGCTCCTTGGGGAGAACCTCTACAATTGCTTTATCCTCCCCTTTGTGGAGCTATTGTTCTTGACTATACTGTGTCTCTGCCCCTCCTACCTGTCTGGTCGTGGTTCCTTTGCATCTTTAGTTGTAGAAGATCATTTTTGCTTGTCTTCTGGTCTTTCTCATCAATAGTTGCTCTGTAAATATTGTAATTTTGGTGTGCCGATGGGAAGAGGTGAGCTCAAGGACTTCCTACTCCGCCATTTTGGCCACCTTCCCCAAACTTGATTTAAAAAAAAAGAAGTACAGATCCACAGTACTCTAAACCCCAAGCCATATAACCCACGTGTATACATAACCCATAATTAGACACAATACAGAAAAAATACAGAGCAAATCTTGAAAGCATTCATTAGGAAAACAACATATATGAGGAACAGTGATACAAACAGCAGCTGACTTCTTACGGGAAAAGAACACTAGATGTTATGTCAAATGAACTTTTCAGGTTGAAGGGATATGATACCAGATGGAACCTTGACTACAGAGTAACAGCACCAGAAATAGTAAATACATGTGTAAAATGGAACTGTTGTGTTTAAGTTTCTTAAATTTGTAGTGAGAGTATACAGTATTAACTAAGTAGAGTGTAATAAGTAAGGAGTGAATATTATAATCCCTAGAATATTGAGGTTCAGAAACTTTAGTGTGCGTCAGATCACCTGGAGGGCTTTAAAAAGACAGATTACTGGCCCCCACTCCAGAGTTTCCGATTCAGAAGGTCAGGGGTAGGGCCTGAGAATTTGCATTTCAAGAAGTTTCCAAGTGGTGTTGATGCTGTTGGAGTGGGGCCGTACTTTGAGAACTAGTAAAGGAATTACTTTTTAAAAACCTTTTATTGAGGTAACATTGGTTTATAACATAAGTTTCATGTATACGTTATATTTCGTCTTCTCTTTACATTGCAGCATGCTTACCACCAAAAGTTTAGTTTCTGTCTCTCACCATACAGTTGATCCCCTTTACCCATTTCACCCTCCCCTGTCCCACCCCTTCCCCTCTGGTAATCACTACTCTTTTTTTTTTTTACCGTGGAGTTAGTAT